GAGTGGCGCGGCGCGACAAAATACTATAGAACTCGTAATCAGTGATGCTGTCTACACCATAGATATATATACATATCTATGGTCTACACTGGATGTGGCACGACACGACAAATCCCCAACCGAAAACTGCTGCTGCTTTCTATTTATGAGGTATTGACATAAATTTCAAATGATTTTCAATGGTCGCTTTGTCGCGTCCAGTGTACTAGACAGACTTTAGCTGTTGCGGTGCAGACACGGTGTTACTCACCTATTGAGAATAAACAAAGCAACCTCGGCGTCTGATCGCAGGCCTTCCGCTCCTTGAGTTCTCTCCAGCGCTGGAAAGCTGATCCGATATTTACACGGGTCCTACTTCTTGCCTTATTACCTTAAGCCTTCTTTTGTTCCGCAGATGTTTTCCTCTTTTGTTTTTTATCCGCCATCTCTATCTTTCTGTCGCTCGGCTTGCTTAATGTCCGTCCTGTGCACTGAACGCTCTCTCCTCCACATCATGAGTAGACACGCCCCTTACCTGCTGATTGGCAACAAGTTTGTTTTGCTACTAGGCTTGAATCAGTTTTCTAAAGCGTTTTTGAAAAATCGCTTACCCCACTTTTAATTAATTTTTAAGGCACTCTCCAAAAAAATGCTTTAGCAAAAACCATACATGTAAATTTTAGTTTAGTGAGGCAAGAAAGATGTGTCTGGGGAGGGCAAAGTTTATAAAAAAATATTGCTGAGGTATGAAATAATGTCTAGAAAGAAAAATATAATTGTTAATTTGATCAAACTGCAAAAGGGGACCTCTCCCTGGCCTGCTAAACAGTACCTGTCAAAATTCAGAACAGTCAAAGTACCAAAGCACATTGATGACTACTCATGATTTTCTTATGTATGTGGTAAAATGAGTACATATAAGCTTAGTATGGAGTCAGAATAATATAAATTAATTCATGCACAAAATATAATGCAAACATGCCAGCCATATTCACATGCACAAACTTGTTGACATGCATAAAATAAAACAATACATTGACAAAATGTTTCACAAATGCAAAACACTATTCACAGATATACAAGTGTGCACACAGTTTTGAATGTTTTAAGTTTATGAATAGATTGAGTTTGCAATTGCAAATCGTCATCAGCAGCAGTGTGCTACTTTAAAAGCAAATAGAACCCATTGCATCAAATAATACTGTCTACCCTGGATTTGTTGCGCCATGTCATATTTTGTAGCGCTAACAGTAGTACTGCTGATGTACTCCATGCATTTGTGCTACAGAACATTCTTTTTGACATATCTTGTGTAGAAGCTTCAAGCCATTGCGTCCTGTCACATGTGCCTGGACCAGTACCGCCGCAGAGTACGCAGTTTGCGTAGGGCACCAACTCCCGGGGGGGGGCAGCATACCAGTTACTCAAAAAAAAAACTTTCGTTCTATATTAAAATTAAAATTTACATATACATATACATAAATACAAATCTAAACATGAACATATATATATATATATATATATATATAATTATAAAAAATGCATTTTACTGTGAAGGTTAAGCACATGTGAGACGCCATTCCCGCATCTGCGCCCGCGACTGCTCGCACCTTATTAAAAAAAACAAAAATGCTCGCACCTCATGTTTGCGGCTGAATGCAAATGATCATAATTGATGGACAACTATGCCGTGAAAAGACATCAGCGATCCGGCGCCGAGAAAAGAAAAAAAGATGAAACCCGTGCATCACTTTCAGGTAGCCTACATTCATAATCCCGTGAAATGTTTTTGGATGTTGACGTTAATAACGTGTTTTAATGTCGGTGATAATTTAACCACCAACAACGCATCTAATATTCTCTCTGACTTTCCATGTTCCCTTACAAAAATTTGCCATGGTTTTACGAATAAAACCAAAAATCATGGTTCTTGTAGCCATGAATGGTAACCACAAATTAACCATGGTTTTGTTACTTCAAATACACTGAAATAACAATGTATTCATTGAATTTACTAAATTTTTTTAAGGTAAGTGGTTGCAATCCAATTCATTTTAGCTACATTTAAACAAAGTAACAATTTATGTACATTACATATTATTACAAATGCTTGCAAAGGGAGCCAAAGGCCTGGTAACTGCTGCTGTTACACTTACAGGACGATCAAAAGACCAAACATTTAATTCAAATATCCACTTAATATTTAAAGGAGACATATTATGCCCCTTTTTACAATATGTAATATAAGTCTCTGGTGTCCCCAGAATGTGTCTGTGAAGTTTCAGCTCAAAATACTCCACAGATCATTTATTATATCATTTTGAAAATGCCTATTTTGAGTGGAAGCCGAAACACGCTGTTTTTCGTGCCTGTCTCTTTAAATGCAAATAAGCTGCTGCTCCCCGCC